TGGCTGGGGAATTCTGGGAGTTGAAGTCCACTCATCTTAAAGTGGCCAAGTTTGGACAACACTGCTCTAGATCAACAAGTGGCTGATCCCACTTTAAGATTAAGCCAATTTGCATTAATATACATTTTATTATGTTGCAGAAGACAACCAAAGCCTTCCCTTTGCTTCCCACCTACCACATCCTTATTTCATTATTGCAATGCAAATTCTTACCTAGAAGCATTCATGTGCTGCTGCAACATGAACTTAAACCCACTGCAGCAGCAATTTGATATAGCACTAAGGATAATCATTTGCACAGAAAGAAAACACAGCAATAAATGAATGGCATTTACAGCTTTCAGGAGAAGATAAAGAACCACTTTATTATCCTCAAACATATTCCACTATAATATTTATTACTGAAAATGTTCTTAGTTTGTTCATGGTTAGGTGGCTGGAACATTTTTCTCCTTGTATCTTTCTTGTTATTTTTCCTACCTTTCTCTTACTCTCCTCACTGCTGCAGAAATAATTATTGTGGATATCCATATGATTCTGACTTTCGAGAGATTTATTCATTCATTACATCTGTATATACCACCAGCAGTTGTAGTATAGGAATTATCTGTGATTCCTTGTGCAGTTGTAGAGATTTCTGCATGAATTCAGCACAATTCTACCGTAACAGCAACAACAGTGTACAGTTGTGCTGCTGTGGGCTTATGCCATTTCCTGCCTCCTCCTTTTACTTCCAATTTAGAAGAGAACAAAAAAGGTAGACAAAAGATGAACAGCCTACCTTACTTCCCCTGTGAAAGCCCAATAACCTTCTTCAAGGTCTTTCCTTCTAATTGTATCCTTATGATGGGCTTATAAAGTGAGATATACTGAGAGATAAAAGAGCTTTCAAGACTGGATGAGGATCTAAATAAAAGTGTCTCCCAGACCCACCACTCTGATACAACATCATGGTGCTGGCTGTACATTATAGAGACCATGTAGCTGTCAAAGCCAAGATGTCAGCTGTGGGAGCAAAATCAACTGTTCTCAAGTCTGTGCTTTTCACAGATAGAAGCTGACAGAAGCAATCAAATTTTCACTGGAAGTGAAGTAGCCAGCAATGCAAAGGCGGTTTGAATTGTCTGCATTTTTTTCTTTTCTTTTTTATATCTTGTTCCATATTTGATGCTCTAATTTCTTGCAGTTCTTTGCACAAATAGGATAACCTGAATGCCTTAAATATGATATTCTAAAGCATGCAGTCATCGTAATTCCTATATGAGACATGGGTAGTAAAAGTTACATTCTTTCCTTCTTTCATCAACATTTTACTTTTATGCCTCACGTATTATGAAGAAGCAGCACTAACTTTCTCCAGGATCTAAGATGAAGGAAACAATTATCTTCACTCTCCCTCATTCTTTCTTTCTGTCACTCACAAAATCAGACATAATTATCTTGCCGTTTTGAGAAACTTTAAATGTAAATCAAAATCATGTATTTTTTGTTTCTTGGTCACACACACACATACACAACCTACTTTTGTGATTAGCAAGCATCAAATACTTTTAATTATACAATTCCCCATTTAGGGCTCCAAATATGGAATAACATATCATCAAACCATGGAGTTTGAAGGGGCTATTTAGACCATCAAGTCTAACCCCTTGCTTGCGGTACAAATCTAAATTAAAGCATTCCTCCCAAATGGCTATCAAGCCTCTGCTTGATCACATTCAGAGAAGGGGAATCCACTGCTGAAGGTAACCGATGCCACTCTCAAACTGTTCTTATTGCTGAGAAGTAGTTCAGCTTGTTTATTTCCTACACTTTGAACGTGAACTTTATAAGATTTTTTTTCTGATTTTCCACTAAATGGTTTAATAGGCCCCATTACATCAGCGCTCCATTTCTTTCTACAGTACACACATATTTATCTGAAGTCCTTACATATATTGGATTAACCCAATGATTAATTCACTTAAGATCTTTTAAAAAAAAATACTTAAGAGATTAATTCAGTAAATAAAATCTAACATTCAGAAAATAAAATTTAAGAAATTAGAACCTGAACTTTAACTCCAGAAGAAATTGTAGAAATATTTGTAGCATTTTTTAAAAATTAAATTGGCAAGGTTTTGTTTTCTCCAATGTAAAGTAAAAGCAGATTTATTTCACTTGTGATACGATTTTGAAAAGGATTAGCAGAACAGCCCTTATTGCATAGAACATAATCCTAAATCATAATTCTCTTAAGCTGCACTATGTACAATCAAATCAGAAGTGTCATTTACTACTTTGTTTTAGCAACACTTACTTGTTCATCAAACAACGTAAAGTAGTAGAAGCCTACCTGAAGGAGAAAAATAAATGGAAAGGGGTAGATAGAGTCAGCCAAAAAAAAAAGGGGGGTGGGGTGGAGACAGGTAATTATCATTTTTGAAAACCCAGAATGTTACTTTAAAACTCTTAGATTTATTATTCTTAACATTAGAATACTTGTCTTTATCCCACCCTCTCAAATTCTATGCAAAGGTAGGGGAAAGATAAATGAGTAAGTAGCTTTTAATCTCCGTATAAATATGACAATTTATTAATGTTGAGCACTCTCACTACAGAACCATGTTTCCATAGTGTTTCTTATTATCTGGAAATCTAATCTGGCAATATTATCTTACTGGCACCAGATTCCAAGCTGCTTTACCAAGCACATAAAGTCTTCTGCTCACATGATTCACTTTGACAGCTTATCTACAAGTCACATAAGTAACAGCCCTCAGATATCAAAACATGGGGGACTAACCATGGATTTAATAGCATTAACCCAAACAAAGAAATCTGTAAAAGTGTGTATGTGCAATCCTGTACTTGTTTAATAAGATGTAAACAATACAAGTGAGTAGTGGATTGCAGTTTTAAATAAATATAATATTACTCTTTGAACCATATGGGGATCCACTCTTTACTGAATATAGGTTTCTCCTTTGGATTGATAATACAAAGGCGTATTGACAATGCACTATACAGAATCCTGGGCAGGGATCTAGAAGAGATGGGAAGTCTGAAGGCCAGAGTGGTACTTAAGGTTGTAAGCCACAGCTAATTCTTCGTGCCTAAATTTTGAAATATAAATAAGGAAGAGTCTGTATGATTTAAAGTATTGTTCAGGACAACTACAAGGTACAGGAAAGTTTGATCCAGTCCCAGGGAAGGTATTAGAAAACTCCTCTATTCTACTCTATTAAACACTTGCATTGATTGTCCATACCTTCTTTCTCTCCTTATATCCTAGAACTCAGGGGTCCCCAAACTCTTCAGCTCACTGACCCCTTCATTAAGTTTCAAATTGTTCATCAACCCCCAAACATTTTCTATATGAAAATAATTTAATAAATACTACTTTAACTAATAGTACTACAAATAATAATAATATCAACAACAACAATGGGTAGTCTCAATGACCCTTGGGGGTTGACACTGAGCACTTTGGGGAACCCTGTTATAACTATAGATTTCAGAACGACATGCCTGTGGAATGGAATTTTGGGTGGCGTATGTTCTATAGCAAATACAGGTAGTGTTACAAAACCATGTTCTATTTTAAATAGATAGCTATTGGACAAAAACATCCAGTGCTTTGGAATGAAAACAAAAGTCCTCTTTTTAGACTTTTGGAGCAGGGTTTGAGCTTGCCTGCCGCTCCTTCCCCTGACTCCCCTTAATTGGAAGTTTCAGCATTCATTAAAATCAGTTGCTAAAAGGGCAAGCCTTTTAATCAGGTGGTGTGTCTGTAGTCAGAGTCTTTAATTGGCTGGTAAAGTGAATGGCATGTAGCTCTCTCATTGGAACTGATGAACCAACTCTTCTCGGGTGATAACAGAGGAATGATGGTAACGATCTCGGGAAGCAAAATCTGTATTCTCTTCAGTGAGCTGAGTGGTCTCCATGCCAACTGTTGCAAAGGTCGGTGTCACAACAAATCGCTCCTCCGGGGATGGCCTTCCCCTGAAAAACAAAAGAACGCAAAACCTTCAGATGCCCCATTGTTTCCCCATACATCTGCAGCTGCACTCTGAACTATGTAAATAAAACAAAGAAAGAAAAAAGAATCCATTCGGTGAAGCACCCCGAAACTTCACTCCAAGAAGGAATGCAAGCTTTTTCATATGGCTCCAGGGTTTGGCTAGGATTCTTTCTTATGTAACAGCTATTCTGAAAACATGCAAGTCAAGGCTTTCTCTTTCCACACATATTTGCTGCTTCTCATTTATTGCCAAGTACTGTAGCTGCTCTGATCTATGCAATTAGAAAATGAAGGTTTGTTCCAGTTACAATGTACGCTTTATGGCAAAGTACCAACCACTTAACATGATGCCTGCTGCCTCCAAACATTCCCTGTTAGCAGGCAACTGTCCTGAGAAAAAAGTGAGAGGAAAAAAAAATGAAATGCTCAGAAAGTTTATCGTGTACATTCCACATTCCCCACAACGACCTCCATCTAATACAAATCCTCTTCTGGATCAAAATATTGAATATACATGTTTAGACTTTCATATTTCTCTTCAGTTTTGCAAGCATATTTTTCTTTATTTGGCTTCTTTGCTCCTAAATAGTTTGATGTTTTGTTTTGCTTCTTTTCTATTCTTTTATAGTGGTCAATGTTTTGTTGATTCCCTATTAAAGTAAACTTTTTTTAAAAAACCACCTTAGGATAATGTTCAATTACATTCACATGTATTTGGCAGCACAACAGCATTTTCCTTACCATATATTACTTGCTAAAGTGCAGAAAAGCTTTAATTAGCCATTAAGGTCTACTTCAAAAGTTTAAAACGACACACATTCACACACACTGGTTAGACAATTTGTTTTAACAGTATTGAACAAACACAGCTGCTCGAAAGAGCCTTTCACTTCTCACATTCCCCAAGTAGCAACATAGCAAGATAGACAGAGCAAGATAGCAATGTATTTTTGAGTGTTCTCAGATCACCAGCCACGGTCATCCACGGTTCAGTCTTGAATTCACAAAGCACTCCAGCTAAAGGGTCAATGGAATGTCTGAAAACTAACTGTGGAGACCAAAATTAACCAGGATCTTTTTGACAGTTTGCTTTGAGTCAACATTCAGTTGTAACCTGCTTGAGTTTTTTTTTTTTTTTATGGGAAATGGTACCCAAATGTTATAAGTAAGTAAATAAATAAATAACTCCTGATCCTACCATGCAAACAGATATGGGTGAGATGTGGGGTGGCCAAGGTGGGCTAAGTTGTTTGTTATTAATATCCTGGGTTAATATTCAGGCAATGATTTTCCAGGGAACACTCTCAACTGCATTATAGCTAAGAACTGTATTTTTATAGCAACAATACAGTATATTGTAATTTGGATAGATGCTCTTTCTAAAAGGGGAGATATCTAGATTTTTATTTATTTATTAGTTCAGTTTCTCCAGCTGTCCACTTGTGATTCTTAAGCAATTAATAAGAAACTTCTTATTCAGTCTTTGTAAACAGTTGTTTATTGAAAAGCCCTTAAAATATAGTTTCAAGACATATATAGAAACACAGAATCAGTAAGATGGTTAGAGGCCCCAGAGAATAACACTTTTAACAAGTGTGGAGATGAGTGAATTGGCAGATGCCTCCAAAACATCTTGTACACAAGACTTTTTAATAGCTCTATAAAGCTACTAGAAGAAGAGATACAAAGGTCTGGGCCAAACTGTTATTATCCATATGCAGAAAATCTCTCTGTCCTTTACAGTTACTTGACTTGGGAAAAGCTGCACCACTCCTGTGGAATAAAGTTTGTGCTGGATGAGAAGGAACAAGTAAATAATTTTTTTAAAAGATGTAAGCACTGCAGTAAAGATGGACTTTTGCAACCACTCACAGTTGGAGGTTACATTGCCCTAAAAAACAAGTATGCAGTTGGAGAGTTCTTCTGAATTCTGGGTTAATGGAGAACCCTCAAGGGGGAGCAAAAGCTTAGATGCTTTTTAAGCTTGGCTCAGTTATCCACGCGTTTACGTCACCTGGACCAGACTATTCTAATGTGATGCTGCCTTTGAAGATGGTTTGAAAACTTCAACTGATATGGCAGGCTGACTCTTGGTAGGGTCATAACAATCCGAACATGAACACCTCCATTGCACTAATTGTACTGGCTTGCACTAGACTTCTGAGCCCAATATGATGGTCAGTCCCTTAAACCAGGACCCACAAGTCAGTGGCTTTTTGTTTTTTTCAGCTTACAAAATTCACAGAGAAGAAGTATAGAGATGTGGAGAATCTCAGTAGGAGCAAGGGGCTTCCATGTGTCTTAGCATGTATTTATTTATTTAGTTCAGAAATGGCTTACACTGGTCAATAAGTGCATTCGGGCTTCACTAGGCACTTTTATAGGGCCAGGAAGCAAGATAGAAAGTCGCAGCACTGAACTTCAGTGGTATGATCTGAGGACAGTCAAAGAGCTGTCAGTTTCCTACCCCTGCCTGAACCATGTATGGCTGAGCTGTTGAGAAGACAGCTTTCACCAATATTTGTTTGTTCCTCTTTTGAGGTTAACTGCTGAGCTCTGCTGCAATGCCAGACTGACCCTGGCAGGCACTGGGAGGTGGCTTGCTAAGGGATGACCCAAGTTGGCTGCTGCTGATAGTGAGTACCTAACCAACAGTGGAAGGCCTTTTAAAGAAGTCTTATGATTATTTATTTTCTCTGAATTTTTAAAAGGACTTTTAGGGCTACGGAATAGTTAATATTCAGTGCTCAGTATTTTAATAGTGCTTAATAGTATTCTGGGTTTTATATTGTACTCAATCATACATTTAATTTTTGGCTTCTAATTTAGTCATGGTCTACAATTTTTTTAGCTCAAACTTATTATTTCATTATTGCAACTGGCACTGATATTAAGTTTAAGAAGGTATATTGGGAGAGTTTTGCTTAGATGAGACATGCAGTATTTAAAATAAATCAAAACATCTCAGTGGAATTCACCAGTGAGGACTGTAATGCACTGCAAGCATCTTTGGATACAACAGCTCTAAACTACAGGGATTTAATTTTTCATTGCAAATTAATTTGTAACTATTTAAAATAATGCTTCTCAGTGACCAGTACTAAGTTCCCTTAGACTCAATATCAGTTGTTTCCCAGTAATAGTTAATAGCCTGAGTTGTTATCTTCAAATTGTGGAGTGTGGATTTTCTTAGTCACCAATACCAACCTGCAGGCATTAAGCAAAAGGAGTTTCATCCATTCGAAAAGGCTAAAATTAGCTGCTGCACCTGTAGAAACAAGAGACAAAATAAGGCACGCAGAGGATTACAGCTGTGCAGTGTTAAAAAAGGTGCCAGGCAAAGCATGTTAGCACAAGAGAAGCTCCTCTGCACAAAGAGTTAAAGCAGCTGTGTCTTTTGGTGAGGTTTGTTTTGAAAGCCTTCCCCAGAGACATGAATAGAAGAGTTACAAAAACTAAAAGAATCCCTCATTAATCCTTAATAATCAAAGTTGGTTTGAGCAAGCTTAAAGATTTAACCATTACAGAAATAGAGTTTTCCAATGTTCTCCTTAAACTGAAGTAAGCAATGTGGGCTGTAAACATTACCTATAATTATATTAGGAGATTTTCTAATTTTTTCTCCATGATGCAATGCAATGCTTCTCAAGTTGAGAAAGGCTTAACCTTTATTTTAAATTACAAAGTTGAACAGCTGGAATAAAATAAGCTTTTAGTATATTTTATTCTTATACTTGCACAGAAAGCTGCAAAAAGTAGATTAGTTGTTCCCAGATATTTTTTGTAAAATGGGCTGGTAAAAACCTTTAAAGATTCTGCTGTCAAATATTGTTTGCAAGCCAGCTGGAAATGAAAAATGGAAGCACTGTCAACACTTCTGTTCACACCACTGCACTTGTAATTTAAGGAGGACAAAATTAAGAGTGATAGCTTTACTTCAGTGATTCTTCTGGGATGATTTCTGTTTTTATAAAATGCAGCCATTGAGGCTATAAGTGGAAAATGGAAAAGATCCACATTCTTTCCGGTCAAATGTGGTCTTACAACCTGCTGGGGTTATATCTTGAATTCATGGTACCGTTCCTAATCTGCAGTGTAGTAGTTAACTTCTATTATTATAAAAAGTATTCTAGAAATAGTTAATTCTCTTTACCTTCTATCTCAGGTTGTTTTTTTTTTAACAGCCCCCTCATTTTTTAAAAGTAAGTTATTGTCCTAAAACCAAGTTTACAATGAAGGATAGGCAACTATTTTCATCTGCTCAAACTTTATGCCACATTTATTGAGTATTACAGTATTAATTTTAATACTGAGTATTAAAATTGAGTATTAATTTTTTTTTTTACCTCTAGCTTATAGTACACATAATTTTTACCATCTTGAATGATTCAGGATAAGTCAAATTTATAAGTGGAAATTAAAGTTTGATGGGGGGAAAAGAAAAGAAAAGAAAAAAAAAGAAAAGAAAATATTTACCAGGTGGTAGTCCTGGACTCACTTGGCCAATGTAGAAATATATAATAATTGCTAGTCCCAAATTAATGAGGGTATAGATCCATTGAATAACGAACATAATGACTAATGAACCTATTGCCTGTAGGAAAGATGATATTGATGATTAAGCTGTGATAAGTTACACTTTGCTTTTTGTTATTAGAATGTTCCTATTTCCATGGAAAAAAGTCAACCACTTTACATTCAGAGGAGGATAAGATGTCTTAGCATCTTCTACTTCTTGACTCATTATTGGCAATGTTTCAAAGAATTTTTGGTGCAGATGAGCTATTTTAAAAGTGTCCCTGTTATTTAAGTGATTGGGTGAGTAAGCTGTAGGGACATGAAATCTTTAATACCAGAGGCTATATGTCTTTTAGGACCAATTCCTGTGAATTTGAACTTGTCATTAGACTCTGTGTTTGAAGTTCCAGAAGGAGTTGGGCCATAGTGCTCTAATCCAAGTGGGAAAGGCGTCCTCAACTCTCAAATTTAGTCTGTTTTGTTTTGGGGACAGAAATGTAAAGACATAAGGCCAACTATGTTGCAGCAAATTAAGCGTGCATTTAATCCATCTGATTCCAGAAGTGACCAGCAGATGCTTCTGGGAAACCCATCAAGCTAGTTATGAAGATATTAGCTGTCACTCCTAGTAACTGGTATTTAGATGTAGAATGCCTCTAAAGATGGAATGTCCAGATAGTTATTAAAAGTTAAATGCTATTGACAGAGTCCTCCATTAATTTGTATGATTATCTTTTTAAGCCTTAGCATTTTAAATGACGTTAAGCTATCTCAACTGATGTCAGATCCACCCCAAGAACGACAGAGAAACAGTCCAGCCAAGTTCAGTTCTTTTACTGGTTACACTATATAGACAGAATCTTGCCAGACTAAATCTGTATTACTCTAACCTAGTTGATATACCCTGGGAAATTCTAGGGAGTGGCTATCCTAAATCCCTTCCTCTTCCCACGATCCTACTCCGGACTGTGCTGTCTCTTGTCTCACCCCCCTTCCTGGAATGTGCTTCCTCCTTCCTGAGAACCTGCTGCATTACTGTAGTACATCATATCACCTCCCCCTTCATAGACACATTCCATCACAACTGATAGCCATAACCACTGCCACAAAGATTAAGCCAGTTAGCCATAATCTGTTGTTACACATATTAACCTTTCCTGAGTTTCCATCTTGACCTTTACACTCGATCAGGCTGCATCTTATCCAATCTTTCTGGTCATGGTATGCCCTGATTAGTATGGCTATACTAGCTGGGAATCATGTGAGTTGCAGTCCCACACATCCAGGCAACATGAAATCAGGGAGGTCTAGGACATGCAATTTAATTCTCTAGATTAAATTTAATTATCTAGATCACAGTAGCTTCCTGCTCTGAAGCATCACATCATGTCCTGACATATCCTCATTCTAGAATTGTTTTCCTTTCCACATTTTCTTTTTTGTCTAGGTTTCTAATCTAGCAAACTGCTCCCATTTTTTTCAGCTACGGGCCTCCTATCCAGAAACCCCGTTTTTTAAAATTTTGTATTACTCTGAATTCAAAGGCGAAAAGATGCTTTGGAGCATGCTGGGTTGCAAATGTAGCACCAATCTGTAAATCCTTAAAGCAGCCCTTGCCTTTTCTGTCTCACATGACTCCCTCCATAGCTGCTACGCAGTCCTGTGAAAATAGGTGTTTGGTTCAGTTTGGTTCGAGGATTTGCTCTGAAGCATCTTTTTGCCTTTGAATTCAAAGTCCTATTCAACATATAATGACTTGAAATCTACTACTGGATGGTAGAATAATATTCATAACTTCTTGCCTACCATGTTACAAAGAGGTTTGAAATATTAGAAGGTGACTCACACCAAAAAAGGAAACCCGATGATCACAGAGCTTGGAATAGAAAGAAGGCGGTATTTTCTGAATTTCTAATTCTTGTCTTTGTTGTTTTAGATTCAAATCTGCAGAACAAAAGAGACAAGAAAGCTTTCAAAAAAACAAAACATAAGATAGATGCATTCAAAAGGGACACTTGAGTACTTTTGAAGGAAACCAAAATCTACTAGAGGACTGAATAGTTTGCCTGAATCAACAAAAGTAGGCCACCCTACTTGTAATTGGGCACAACTGCATCTTCGGTTCCCTTTCAGAAATTCAGAATTGAAGATTTGAAACTCCCAGTTCTAACTCATCCAACCCTCTTATCTCTTTCAAAGAACCTTGCAGATTTGACCTTCTCTCTTTTCTAATGTGAAAAATCAGAAAATCTGTGTCATGTATTCTGCTTTAAAAACCATACTAAAAGGCCAACATCTGCACAAACTGGTTTAGTGAAAGCCTAGGCAGGTGGTTCTGCTGGGGTAGCATTATACAGTTACATGCACATGTTTAGGCACTCCTGGTCAAATTATATGTTCCTAAGTGAACAAAAGCTGACACAACATTACATGATATAAAATCAAACATGACATCTTACTGCAAATTGGTATGTATATTTACTATTTATGTGCAGCTATTTGCAGATTCAAAAGAAGAAAACAGTAAACAGTACAGAAATGTGGACATTCCTTCAATCATTACTTTGTAATATTTCCTCCGGAAATATTTTCAAACATTTCCTGTAGCTAGCTATGAGTCTCTCTGTTCTTGCTTTCAGAATGTCTTCCCACTCTTCCTTGCAGAACTCTTCTAGCTCCGTGTTTAGATTAGGAGACACTTCACTTAGCGTAGCTACTGGGTGAAATTCAGTGTTCTCCGAGCAAACTTCTGCTTACGCAGTAGGAATTCATCTCTTTCCATTCCCCTTGTCTGCTCTCATAATCAGCTTCAGACAGGGAAGGAAATTTGGAGTATATTTTGAGGGCATATAGGGGACCTCTACTCATTCTGCTAATGGAAGCAGTTCTAGCAGTGGAAATACCCCAGTTAGATTTTACTCACAGAATGCCGCATGCCTTAGTTTCTTTTTACACAATTCTATGCAAGTTTCAGATAGGAAAAATATCCAGATACACAATAGAATAAATTACATTTTTAACTCAGAATTGTTTGGTGTAGAATACTATGGCCATTTGTTCTTATGCACTTCAAATTAATGTTCAAGGTCTTAACATTTGGAATTTATTCCCACCCATGTCAAGAGAAAAATAAAGGCATCTCACATTGCCGTATGGATGAAGGATGCTTATGTAGAGCACTGGAAGAGAGACTGTAAACAATAAATTATCCTGCAGTGAATTAACTCTGGGCTACTTTTCCATTGGCAAATTAAATTAGAACAGTCTCTATGCTTAGTTGTAAAAAAAAAAAGAACAAGAAAAAAGTTTGCCACCAGGGATAACAGCCTGAACATGTAAAAATGAACTTCCCTTACTAACAAAAGCAAATGAGCATTCTTCATTTTCAAATACATATTTTAATGTACTCCAAATCTTCTTACCCTCCATCTGTGGACTGGAAGCTTTCTGCATTACATCAAAATTTTGGTCTCCATCTTCTTCCTTCTGATTGCTTTTTCGAATAGCAGATGGAGATGCACCCTTTTCATCCTCCTCCTGGCAATTTGGCTGTGAAAAATGCCGCACATTTTTGACACTGGATTTTAGGGCATCATTGCAAGGATCCTGAGTATGAGCAATGTTGTTATCAAGAGCCAGACAAAAGCTGTCTTGTAATGTTTGCTTGGCTGCCTTCTTTTGCTTTCTCTGCTTGATCATTTGAACAGCATCCATGTTCTTTTCTTTTAGTTCAAGATTGATTCCTGGATCTTGACTAACAGGCTTAAAAAGATGATTCATATCTTTTGTGAATTCTAGCAAAGTGCCATCTGATCGGCACTGATCTATTCCATTTGATCCATAACCATAACAAGTTGATTTGCTGAGCATTAAAGGTCGAGAGCAACTTAGCCCTACCCTGGAATCCTCGTGCCGCATCCATTTGGCGTTCTGCTTAAGGTTGTAGCTCATGGAGACAGAGAAATAGGAATAATCCACAGCAATATATGTAAGCATGAAGTTTATTGTAACTATTGGGGCAAGAACATTCACTTGGCCAATGAAAATGAAAGCCATGGTGATGAGGCTTGTTAAGCAGATTGCAGCCACTGGAGTTTTGTTTGGTCCTTTCTGTATTAAGAACAAAGGCAATACTCACATATGTTATGTACGGGCAGTAATCTGACATAAAACATTTCTGGATAATGTTTATATCATATATAAATCTGCTTGACTTGTCTCTCTTGATCTATTTTCCAGGCCCAGAGGCAGGAGAAAATATAATGGCCTCCTCAGATAAATCCTCATCTAAGGAAGAGGAACAAAATGAGTTTGCTGATTGCTATCCTGAAGACTGATGTCCCAGAACAGAATTAACAGCAGGGTGGCTGTCACTACCTTTGACTTTTTGGATCCAGACTAAAACATTCATGGAATTCCTGAACAGCCTGCATTCTGCTTCAGGATAAGTAGTGCTGTTGGTCTTAGATGAGAATTAAGAAACTCCCTGTACAAAAGTTGCTGTCTCCAGGCTCAGATGTTTGAACAACATCAGCTACAAGCTCACCTTGTATTCACTGAGCCATGAACCTGAGTTTTGTAACAATTTTCTGCACAAGTGATCTTTACTGTTGCTTTGATCATAACTTATTACTCAACCCTTTGAACTTCCTACTTTTACTTCACCAGAATATATTGAATTCTGGATTGTTTCTTGACCATTTCTGTTGTGCCAAATAATTTGATAATTCAACCTCATCTGAATTAGTAGTCTAAAGCTGTTGGGCACCTGAATCAGGACAGGACTGTTAGAAGACTTAGTGTGAAAAGGAGATGGGAGAGGGGTGCATGCAAGTCTGAGGTTCATTATGTCTAATTCTCTTAATGGGGAACCATAGTTGTCATTTACAGTATGTCTGAATTGAGCCACACTAATTTTTTTTAATACAGGAGATTACTAAAGTTTATTGAGGCCGTACACTTTAAACAATGTCTCTAACTTAAGAATATTTGAAGACCAATGGCCCTGGAGAGAAGACTGACTCCACAGAACAATGACCCTCAGTAAAAGGTTCTGGGAGACCATTAAGCAAAGAGGACAGCGTATGGTGCTACAGTAGATTGTTTGTTTAAAAAATTAAACAGAGATATGAATGATATTAGTAGTGTGGAATGAAAGTCTGTTCTAAATAAACAATATGATTTGGGAGTGGGACCTTCTTATTCAGAATGATAGAAGGTCTAAACAACTCTTATCAGATAACTGCCTAAGGAAATCTATCATGGATGGCAGAATATCTGTATATTGAAAATAAGCAGAAGATGCCTTCCTTACTTACTAACCCCGTATCCAAGAAATGCAAGAAGAGGTATCACTTTCTCTTGGGCAATGCACTGAAGGATTCGGGGTGCTCCATAGAGACCTCCCATACAAGATGCTAAGGATGAAATGTACAAACCAAGTAAGAATAAGAAGCCCACCAAGGACACCTAAGAAAAAAAAAAGAGAGAGAGAGAGCAAAAATTAAGTTTTTCTTAATTAATATTTGAAAGGCACATTTGATAAAAATCAGTGTGGCTTACAAAGTTTATTGTAGTACAGTGACTAAGAACATGAGTCAGATAATCTGACACCCAAATCTCATCAGCCATAAATAGAAGCATAGTAATCTGCCTTATAACAAGTTGGACCATCAGTCCATCTTGTTTAATATTGTCTACAATGACTATCAGTGATTTCCTAGAGTTCTAGACTGGATACTTTCCTAGCCCTGTCTGGAGATGCTGGGGATTAAACTTGAGATAGTTTGAACAGGGAGCAAAGCCCACACTCACTAGCACTAATGATGTTACCTAGTCAGGTAATGAAACGTCTGCAAGCAAACAACCAAACTCAGAGAGCACCAAGGACTCCCCAGTTCAACCCTGAGCTACATATATTCTCTTCTATAGTCTGAATGCAAGAACACTGAACTACAGCCCTTTCCTTAGTAGACTTCTCTCAGTCTCGTTCCCCATCAGAAATAAGGAGTAACAGCATGCTTTACAATGCTGGCATAAGGATTGTTGAGATAAAGCATGTGCAGAATTTGAAGAATTGTGTTAAAAATTGTCCTAATCAGTCACAAACCAGTGAGAAGCTCTTTGCTGCAAGAAAACATCCTGTTGGTATTCTGCCCTAATTAACAGCACAAAAGAATACACTTTAATATGCTTTGCCCGGAGTAAAGCAATCCAATGGGAAAAGATTAATTTAGCAGCAATTTCAGAAGAAGCACGTACAGCTTGCGGAAAATGAAGGGAGTAGCAGATATTTGATTCCATTTACATACCAGAACAGAGTTTCAGTTCAGGAGAATGTACTTATGCAATTTCACATAGACTAAAATCAGATAAAATATTTTAATTAAATAAAATGTTTTTTATGACATGTTTCAAATGAGATCATCCAGCAAATAATTTTGGACAGCAATCTTGAGAGGCAGTGACTCCTGGATCACTTCAGTGGAGCATGCACATTGAATTATGGATTTTGTCCTTACTTTCATGATTAAATCTACAAGATATGTATTTTTAAACAACAAAACCTAAGACTTTACAGCCCTATACTTTTAATATTATATTGGATGCAAGCCATACTGAGTTCATTAGGTGTTAATGCTAAGTAAATGCAGAAGGTTGAAGTGTTAAACTGTTGATTGTTATCTCTCTAGGTAATTTGTGCATGTTAACAAATAAAGCTAGTACACTATCCTTCTATTCTCTTTTATCAGGATCATAACTAAAGGCTTCAGCTCAGTATCCCATTCTGCATGATTAATTTTTCCTCCTAGACAGTAAGGCCTGAAAACATGATACAAAGGAAACTGGGCCATATGGGATAATGTCAATTAGTTCAAGATAGTTCACTCCAATCACATCTACCCCTGACCACTGTTACTACTTCAGGTGCTGTTCCTTCTCTGTGTTGGAACTCAATCCAGCTGCTATTTTAGATTTAGTGAGGAGAAAGGCATGTAGTACATTCAGCACAACTAGATCCCCCCAGTTGTCACTGGACCAATGTTGGCTTATTTGGTGAGAATGAAATAATAGCAATAGTTCTTAGAAATGGAGGAGAGGATGATGCCAAAAACAAGAGCCAGAGCCAGAGGCACCTGACATGGTCTGGAACATCAACTTGTAACATTCCACTGCACAAGCTTTTATGGTAGCTCATTAAGCAGCACGCATATATGGGAAGAGTAAATTATGTTCTATTTGCCCTGTTTTCCAGGGATCATAAACTTGCCTTCAGTTTCTAGCTACAAGTCTGTTCTGCAAATTATAACAACCATAATTAGGAATAATGCCAATCGTAACCTTGAAAAACTCAGGCTATATTAAAAATGCAGTCCTCTGAAGCTTTACTCAGAAGTAATTATCACCGCGCTCTGCAGGACTTTAGTTGGTAAGGACTGTAGCTAAATTTTGTTTCCTGTTATGACAGCAGCCTGCAGCACAAGAAAGGAGATCTGGAATTCATGTAGGATGTCAGAATTCTACAAGCCCCACAAAACCAAGCCAACTTGATTTCTTTAAAATAAAAACTGTGTTACTAACACATACAAAATACAGAGAAGGAGTGGTGATAGTTAGGGAGTATATGGAAAATAATCAAATAAAAGTAATTTGAAAATGGCATTGCTGGCGATAATAATAGTACTTTTTACAGTGTACTCGAAAATACTATGATTAGATCATGCTTTACATAATTGCAATGGCCACATTCAAAGTGCCATGACATTCCACTCAGACTTCCAGGGGAAGAAGGTTTTTTCACTGAGGCAGTCAAATGTACACTTGCAGGTACAACTCCAAACATATAGTGCTGACAAATTCTTCACCATTACAGCTTAATCACTTCACATATTCCTGATTTCTCTGGATGGGAAAGAACAGGCTGAAGGTGGACCCTAATATGTCTGAGCTGCTGTGGATGCATCTGTCACCATCAGAGTTCTTCCTTGACCAGCAAGCACCAACCATCAGACAACAGGTTCACGAGGGATGTCCTGGAATCATGGCTCCTGCTGAAACAGCAGGTGGAAACTGTGGCCAGAGGGGCCTATCACCAGCTGCAGCTGGTATGTCAGTTGCAACCCTACCTGGGGCTCTACATGCCTTTATCGCCACCTGGTTGGACTACTGTAACATGCTCTTCTTGGCCCCGCCATTAAAGACAACTCAGAAACTACAGTTGGTCCAAAATGCAGAAGCCCATGAACTTGCCGGCTACCATTGTTGGGAGAACAGAAAAACTGTTTTTCTGCATTGGCTGCCAACTGGTTTCCAGATACAATTTAAAAAGCTGGTTTGGTTTGGCTTGGTGCCCAGATACCTGCAAAACTGCCTATTCCAATCAGTACAAGTGCAACCAATTCAATCAAGTAGAGAGAAGTTATTATTGATCTCACATTTTGAGGATGTCTGGAGAGTTAAAACAAGAAGGTGTTGGTTCTCTATGCTGTGGAACAGTCTCCTGGTTGAGATCAGGCTTGCCCCGCCTTGCTGATATTTCAGAAGCTTTTAAAGACCAAGTTATGGACAGCCTTCTCCTGATTTTGTTAAGGCATCTATATTCTCTTTTTTTATTGTCTGTATTTTTGTTTGGGTGGGGTTGTTTTATTGTTTATATCAATTTTTATCTGGTTTTATACTGTATGTAAGCCACCAATTCTGGTGGAGTAGAAATGTGATTAATAAACAAATATGAATAAATATTCAAACTGCATTCGAGAATAAATGTTTCCTTGAAAATAATGACAGATGTATCCTATCAATGTGTAGAAATTGAAATTCTCTTATGGCCAGAGAAATCTAATTCTGCCAGAAGCAAACTGTAGTTTAATCCTCTTGTCACATTACCAGCAGTTTCCTCTGCACAAAATGGAAATAAAACTCCTGTTTCTCATTTTGTTTCATGATGCATAAAGATGGATGCAAGAATTCCATTCAAAATAATTTGCTAAGCATTTGCTTTCTCCAGAAGCAAAACGTAGACTAGAGTCTTCCATATTGCCTGTATTCCCTCTGTATTATTTAAAGTAACAGTGATCCATGCGTCTTCTTATTTAATCTGTTAAATACACATTCTGACAACAAGGCTAGCCAGCACAGAGTACAATAGGAGCTGAATTCTCTACTGAGACAGAGAACATGGCCTTGCCATATAAAGCAAGAGAAAGCCATCAAGAATAGTCTTCTGCCTACAGATTGAACACAAGACTACCCAAGCGCACAGTTAGCTATGCAACTTATTGGGTGAGTCAGTCATTATTTGTCAGCTTAATTTATTTTACAAAGTTCTTAAGATAAAATGAAAGAACACCACTCTTGTTGTTCTGAAATACTGGCAAGAACGGCAGGATTGCAACTCATGGCAATAGCTGAGGAGATGAACCTTTGAGACAAAAGATTTAAAAAACCCACCAAACATATGCAGGTGCCCAGAGCAAAATCTGATGTTCTCAAATACATTTTTGGTAGGCTGTTTTAGAGTCTGTGGGCCACAGATTCATAACCTATGGGTTGAAGTCAGTTTTTTTCTATTGTCTATATGAGAAAAATATTAATTTTTCATATCATGTACACCTATGCACCTGCTTAATGTAATAAAACCTGATTTAAGACCACAGTGAAAAATCAGGTGCAAAACTCAGTTAACATATTGATAAGAAACTAAAAAGGCATTAGATTATGCCTCATGTCATATACATATCATATCCATATTAAGACAACCAAGAATACCTAAAGTTATTTTTAAAGAAAAAGTAAAAAAAAATTATCTTGGGAATAAACAAAATATCTGGGTGGTGAGAATCTCTTTCCCACTGTATTATTTCAAGGAAGAGTTTCAATTAGATACTACTTTGGGTTATCTTACAAAACATAGCTAAATGAAGCGAAGTGAAGAAGTGAGGCTGATAAAGCGAGAGAAGATTATCACCGAATGTGAAACTGTCGTGAAGGAGAAGATGCTCTAAAAAGCCAATTCTGTGGCAGGCTGTCATTCAAGGCTGAAATTAGGCGCTTGTCCTGTTGTCAGCTATGTTGAACATGTGGAGGCAGTAATCTCCCCAAGCAGTAAAGGCTTTTGAAGTAGTGAAATTCCCACCTACTCAGCTGACTTTATAACATGACTTTCTGTTTAGCGGCCTTGCCATGGCAACGAAGGTCCGTTCTGATTTGATTTCTTCTGACTCTAGGTTTAGATAAAGCCAGGTTAAAAAACGCCAGAGAATTCCTGGAAGCTTGGCATTCTAACAAACAGCCATCGGCAGACACATAGAGATAACCCCCATCTACACACCTCTTAAAAGATAAAGTCAAGAAAGGAAACAAACAGCCCAGAACACATCCTCTCTAGCAACCAACAGTCGGATAAGCAGGAAAAAGCACTAGCTAAACAATCAGGGAAGAAGCAATGTCCTAATCAAGGAACCGCTAAGGAAGAACCCCATCCCAACCAAGTCCAGCAAGGCAAGCTATTATCTATCGACAACCTGCACACTTCACTCCCCGATGCACTAATGACATTATCTAGCCTGGTAACAATGTCTGCAGGAAAGCAACCTGAGTCTCGGTCGGCAGCACAGGAATTAGAGCCTAAATTAGATAAGGTCCTAAGTCTGGCTACATGTTACAAAGGGCAGACCAAGGAAAGTCAAGCCATTTACTTGAAAGAAAGAAGTATAACTCAGCAAAGAGACTGCTTGATTGGCTCTTTGCAGCAAGTAATGCTCCACCTCCCTTCCAGAAACTCTGTCTTTATATGTGCTGGATTACCTGGCTGAAATATAGACCGGACTGACTAATTCTGGTTCCTCCAGGAACCTGTGATTCATCTTTCTGTTCTCTTTCGGAAAAGCAAGCTCTTATGCATACATTTTCTGTGTGTTTCCAGTAGGAAATTTTAAGTTTGCAACATACTTTCATGTTACTTCATAAACACCTTCACTTTGTAGCAGAAGCTCTATGTCAGCATGCGTATGAAATTGTGTGTGAAATCATAATTGTGTGTGAAATCATAATTGTGAAATTGACAATCCTGGCTTAATGCATGTAATTGAAACTGTAATGGAAAAGACAAACTCTTGTATTTCTGTAGCCTAGATGGTTGGGAGTTCCTTTCCCATGCCCTGGCTCCTCACTTCCTCACTTATTTATTTATTTATTTATTTATTTATTTATTTACTTACTTACTTACTTACTTACTTACTTACTTACTTACTTACTTACTTACTTACGTATCAAATTTCTATAGCTCCCCATCTCACAGAAAAGTGACTGTGGGCAACTTACAACAATCCAGTAAAAACAACACATACATAAGCAATCAGTATAAAAAAATGTAAAAATCAATATTCAAAGATAAATATGA